TGCAGCGACAATAAAGACGAATGTAATCGAAAGTTTTACTGTCACAGTAAAAATATTCTTTTAGAGTTATAGGCACTTTAAGTACACAGGGGTGGCTGTAAATGTCATGCTTTTAATGATCTTCTCCATCATTTCTGAGCCTTGTAGCTTCATCAGTACAGCAGGTAAACATGTGAAACGCTCTGGGCTGAAAACCACATTTGAGTTCAGTTGAAGACGGCAACCAGATTAGGTTTACATCCATCCAGGTGTCACAGTCTGGACGCTAAATCTGGTTTTTGTTCATGTTGTCTGACATAGAGTCAGAAACAATCATTGGTACTCTGGATGTGTTTCTGGTTTCTGATCATTCACCAGAGAAAACTTTACAAAGTGCATTCTGGGTAGTTTGATACCAGGATCATCTTCTAGACACATTCCTTCTATGGCAAAATGATTCTCTATTTTTGTCTTCAGACTGAGACACCTGGATGGATGTAGAACTGATCTGGTGTCAGGTTCTACCAGAACCCAGATGTGTTCTTCCTCCTAAATGTCATGTGTCTATCTGCTGTACTGATGAGGTTCTGAGGCTCAGAAATGATGGAAAAAGTCCATTAAAGTGATCAATCTGGAGCCTCCTCTATGGACTTCAAGGACCTGGACCTCAGTATGAAGGTAAAACTTTGCACGGTTACTGGAGATGCAGAATCAGCTGATTCTTCGGGGAACTGCTTCTAGATTTCACATGTAATGACCCACTGACCTCCACAGCTACGTTGCTGAAACAAGCACCTACTGAAACATTCTAATGAATTAGAATTATCTGCAAAATTATAAAGTTAAACCAGTTAAAATATCTGAACAAAGAACAAGGCAGCAGCATGGATCTGACAAATCTGTGAACTTCCAGCTCTACATGTCTGTGTCAGAGGGGGGAGGGGCGCATAGTCGATCAGTGTGATCAATAACCGTCTCAATAATCCCACAGACTCTGACTAGTTTAACGCCTGGTTCAGACTGTAGGAGCACAAACCTGGTCTGATCACAAGTTGGTGAACGTTGGTGGGTAATGTGAGATGTCTACACATTCAGTCTGTAAAACCAGTCCAAAGTCAAGTCTAAAACCAGCCTTAAATCAAGTCTAAAACCAAGTCCAAAACCAGTGTAAAACCAGTATAAAACCAGTCCTAAATCCAGGTCCAAAACCAGTGTAAAACCAGTATAAAACCAGTCTTAAATCAAGTCCAAAAACAGTGTAAAATTGGTTTAAAAA